GTGGAGGCGAGGGTGGAGGCGAGGGTGGAGGCGAGGGTGGAGGCGAGGGGCGTCGGCAGGCCGGCGGCGGTAGCTCGGCCACGGAGGCGAGAGTCGCTGCAGAAGCAGAAGGCGGAGGAGGAGGCGGCGGCGGCGGCAGGGGGACAGCGCGAGGTGGCGAGGCGAGGTGGGGAGGCGGGTGGTGGCGGCGGAGGCGGCGGAGGCGGTGGAGGCGGTGAGCGGCGGCGATGGGAGGCAGGCGGCGGGGCCGGAGGGAGTGGCGTGGCGCGTGGTGGGCACCTTTGCAAAAAAACGCGCGAGATCCTCGGGCGAACCAGGCACGTACACCTTGTCCTCCTCCTGCGCGGAGCGATGCGGAGGAGGGGCTCACGCCGGCGCACTGAGGACGCGCCTCTACCCTGCTGCAGCGTCACTCGCGTCATGCGCAAGCTGTCCCTCTCTCTCGCGCGCGTGCTGCATCTGGCGGGTGGTTGGTCTCGACGGGAGACGGGCGGCCACACTTTCCGCCAACCGCGCGGCACGGCGCGAGTCGAGCCGGTGGCTACGGCGGTGCGCACCTCCATGGCGCCAGGCGTCTTGACCTCCTCCATGGTCAAGGCTGCGGTTGGTCCCGACGGAGAAGGGAGAGCTCTCGGTCGCGCGCGGAGGGAGCTGCAAGATCAGAGCCACAAGTGCATCTCCCGTGCCACGTTTTTCTTTTTTTTGAGAGCGCCTTCGTTGTTAATAGTACAAACCCAATGGTCCTCTGCGAGCGGTCCTTCGTTGCAGTCGCACACACGCACACGCCACGCCGCACCGCGCGCCCGCCCACCGCCCCGCCCAGGCGGGAAAGAGATGAGGAGATGGGACAGACAGCGAAGGAGGAAGCACAAGCACGTATGGGAGGGTTCAGTAATGCGCCACGCTGCCCGGCGTCTCTCACTTTCCGGGACAGCCCCGCCCTTGTGAGGCAGGAAAGTGACGGCTACCCCGTACGCCCTGCAGCCTGCTACCCCGACGCCGACCGCCCATTCTCCCCTCCTCGTTCCCCCCTCGAATGCTCCGGACCCCGACCGACAAGCCGCCCGACGTTGGGCCTCTGCCCCGCACGCTCCCGCCCCTCTGCCCCTCACACACACCCATCGCAACAGCTCGGGTTGGACGGACGCACCTGACGCAACGAGTTTTTAAAATCTTCACAATGGCTAAATGAGGAGGTCGAAGTCTCGTTGCCGCCCTTCAGCGGCACTTTGCTCATGCAAGCGGGCACCCTGGGCATTCCGCCAGCAGCGAGCGGCGACGTTCACCCCGCCCTCGCGCGAGCCCGCGCCGCCGCCTTGCCCGCGAGGTCTCTTTCAGGTTCCCCTCGCTGCCGGCTGGCCGACGAGGAGGTGGCCGTCCGGACGTCACTCTCCTTCAGGGCCGCTAAACTGCAGCGGGACGATGCTTGGTGCTCCATCAACGGCTGGGGCGAAGGCATCATCCTGCAGTCCGAGCCCGTCCATCCGGGGCGGTATGAGGTCCGCATCACCCTGAAGACAAAGGAAGGTGAGAAGCCGTTCCTACTCCGATGCATGAGTCGCGCCGCTTTCAACAACCTCATAACGGTGACGCCAACGATGGCGTATGTGACGGCATGATGAGCTTGATTGAAGTAGCGTCTCCAGCTGATGGGTAGAGACGGCCCTGAAACAGCCCGCGGTTCGCAGGTTGGTCGTTGCTGATAGCCGATCAGTTTGCAGGCCAATTTGCACCTCGCTCCGAGGATTGGTTTGGGGCAGGCCTACGTATTGTACCTTTTGTGCATGGGGTGGTGATCGGACTTGTGCTCAAGACTGCTATCTAACGTGCCGCAGCGCTTTGCTGCCTTCTCCACTGCGCAGTGGAAAGCCCAAATGGGTGGCCCTGCCAGAACGCAAAACGCGAGCCGTCCCGACCGGTAAAGTATTACGAAGCCAGGCGGCGCGCGGTCTGGTCCACGGCAGCCACCCTGCTCGACCCAGGGACCGGCAGAATCCAGATACCGGGATCAATAGAGTCGCTCGAAAGATTAAACGGATGAGAGGAGCCGGCAGGGCCAGGGGCCCTGCCGCGCAGCGGGGGGAGCAGGTGGGAGCGGGCGGGGACACATGTACATGTCCCTAAATCCCATCTCGTCTCAGAGTTTGACCGTTTCATTTATTTTTACCCATCTCACAGTACCGCTTTTTTTATTACGAGCTCAAGCCACGTCGCCGCCTGTCTAGTTCTTTGTTTATTTATTTATGAGCTAGACTTCGATGTTAATAACAAGCGAGAAGGCACACACAAAACATGACGCCAAACACCACGATTGCACGCACAGCACCGCACCTCGCACCCCGCGCCCGCCGCCCCCCCGACCCCCGCCCCGCCTAGGTGGGAAAGAGACGAGGAGATGGAACAGCCCGAGGAAAGGAGGAGACAAGCACGTATGGGAGGTTGCTCGCTGTGCACCACGCTGGCCCGGCGGTTTCTCAATTTTTCTGGGACAGCGCCCACCTCTTTTTTATTTAGGTCATTTCAGACAAATGGCGTGTTGCCCCCCCTCTTAATTGCCCTCATTAAAAT